GAACGGCGGCAATGTGACAGCTGCCTTATCGTGGGAGCTGTGCAGATGCATTTAGAAAACTTTACGACTCAGAGAAATCTGTGATATTGACAGTGGTCATGTGTCATTTTCAGCAAATTATATAAGAGCAAGAATACTTGAATGTTACCAAATGTCGTCATCACATTGCGATTTTTAACCGTGGATCCTGGAAATTTTGACACGGAATTCCGAACACCGATTCAGAAAGCAACTAACTCTTTCACGTTGTAGCCCAAATAAACTGAAAATTATATCAAGACAAGTAAATTTTAGATATTTCATATTGATTGGTATAACCAGGCCACATGCGATCTTGTAGTTGCCAGAATTTAGGGGTCAGACAAGTTGGGCTAGGACTAACCGACCATTCCCTGGATCCGTCCTTGATTGATATTTTTGGCTCCTAAAGGAGCCTGTTTGCGGGTCCTGCAATGGAAGAGACGTTTATTACCATCGCAACTTTCTGTTATCCAGAATTTAAAATAATCTCAATTACATATACTCGTGACATCATAGAATTGAGCTTCCTGTCACTTCAGATTATGTCTGTTTATAGTCTAGTGGTTATAATCACAGTCCAAAAATATACATAAAAATGAGAATAATAAAAATTTATTTTAAAGAAATTTTGACAAAGTCTTCTGTAGGTCCGTAATTAAAAAGTTATATTCTTGGGAGTCAAGCAATTTCAAGGGAAGTCAAAAAACACTGTAATATTCGCTGAGATGGTTGTGTGAGGTTATAAGAAAACTCATTCCTGTAGTTATGGTCAAGAGATTGGTTATGAGACTGGTTATGGCTAATCATTTTCTTGAACAATTTGAAAACAACTAAAACGAGTCGGTTGGTTTAAATGACAATGTCCTGCAGAAAGAAATTGCTAGATGTACCTTTCAGGAGGCTCTTGTGATCTTTTACTTGAAGTGGAGTAAAACACTTTATTCAGCATGTAGTTGGCAAGAACGAGTGTGCGGGTGTTCTTCGTAAGTGAAGCCATTTCAAGTTCCAAAAAACTATTTCTATGAGTTACAGAGAAGACCAGAGAAGAGTAATCACTTTCCCTGAATCGTTTGGTCAATAGTGCAACTTTCAAAAAACACTTTGGTGAATGTCAATAAATAAACATCTGGTTGTCAGTATTTTCTTCTTGTATGTTAGTCGAACTTAAGTTATGAATTGACACCAACCGAGAGCAGGTTTATTTTGTGAAAGAACAAAGAAATGTACATGTGTCTTGGAACCAGAAATAAGAGAATGTCCAAATTTACTTCTGGTTTTTACTCCTCCCGTAGTTTTGTAGCACACAAAACCAGCCTTGACTGAAGGTCCTTGCAGAGTAAAACATGTAATGGGATCCAACTTCAGTTTTAAGGATTTTTTTTATTTGTTTGATGTATGATTATTTAGATGATGGAAAACAGCGAAGAACAAGTTCATCTCTGCGACAGCTTTCTATTAACAGGAAATTCTTAAATAGAGTAATAAAAAAACACCGCAAATAGCTCGAGGATTTTCAAGACAGTTTTTGATTGGACAGAGCAATCAGAAAATGATTCACGCACGATTTTCAAAGCACAATCACTGTTTATCAGAGTTTCCTTTTCTTAATTTAACTTTCATGGAAGATAAACCACAGTGATCTATTCGCTGAGATGATTGTTAGAGGTTATAGAAGAATTCATTGTAGTAGATACAACTAATTATTCGCTTGCACAATGTGAAAACGATTGAAACGAGGCAGTTGGCATGGTGACAATTTCCAGTAAAAATAATGATTGTTTTTCCATGAGAAATTTCCATCTACTGAAAGAAGGCGTAGAGTGAAGTCTTGACAAGGCTTTTCGACCAATAAAATCAAGCAATGCGCCAATCTTCAAATAGTTGAAGTCTGTTTGAAAGCTGTTCGCTGGCTTCTCGGTACTAGATCTGAATCCCCGCCACCCCCCAACCCCTTCCCCTTGGCCCCTTTTTTGACGGAAACTGAAAGGGTGCTGAAGTTAAGCTGGCTTAGTATGGGGAAAACAAATGCAATGCCAAAAAGAGCTTACGGCGGTGGAGAGTGTTTAAACACAAATTTGTCCACAAGATGTGCCTGAGAGAAAGGGACCCCAACAGCATTGCTTATTACATCAAAAAGAGGAATATCAGCGATTCTTACATTCCTAGGAGAGTTTGAGATTGTGACCACAGGTTTTGCTGTTGTGGACTTTCAAAGTTAACTGTTGATAATGAAGGGTGAGATTTGCTCAAGTGATGTCATGAAGGCCATTAAGCAAAGTGTTGCTGGTGGAAAAATTAGTCCAGAACTCAAAAATTTCTTTAGAATTAGATGTAGGTTATACAACCTTTCTTCCATTATGGTGCAGTATCTAAACAAAGTGTCACTTAATTTCCACCAACATAACATTAAGCTTGATTACACAATTATTTCTACACATACATGTATGATCCAAAAAGAGACTTGGTAGTTTATTTCAATATTCAACACAGCCCAAGTTAATATACAAAAGAAAACATATTGAACAATTTATCGCTCAAGTCATTTTGTCCACATATGGTTAAAACCAATGGAACTAATTAAACATACACCTTTGCATCTGTTTGTTAAGTTGCTGCAAGATTCTGCTCACATTCCAGTATCCTTAAATGAAATTTAATGATGAGAACTTCACCACCTAACTGTGCGTCAACAGAGGAGGAAACTTCAGAGGATACCCTCCTTCACTGCAGTTAAAGTCGACCTTCAATAAGAATTTTGCCATACATATTGTGCCGCTTTTCTTTTTACTACAGGAATCAGATGGACCAAATGTAAGTAGGGCAGGGGGAAAACTTACCTTAGATCCAGTTAAATAAAAAAGATCGAACCGATTATATTCAAATTCTTCCATTGATGTTGACACAACAGGAATTGCTGTGGATTGCTGTAAAGCTATTGACAGTTATCTCTGTAACAGAAGGATGGCTGAACAGGCATGCACTAATAGTATCTAATAAAACTCTGTTTGTTTTGTTTCAAAACTTTTATA